CTGCCAGCCGGGGAGTGAGGAGGGAGGTAGCCCTGTTGCCTTTCCAGTGGGAGATGTCTTCTGGTCAGTTGCGCTGCAGGTTGCTGAAGGAGGAGGTGAGCTGGCTTTGCACCATCAGGGAACGTGAAGAGGAAGGTGGACATCAGGGAAGGTGAAGAGGAAGGTGGACGTCAGGGAAGGTGAAGAAGAGGTGGACAGCACCTTCGCGAAAAGCAAGAGGCAGAGCCACACGTGGCAAGGAGGGAGTGCCAGTTGGAGACCCTGGTTAAATGTATGATGGAGGGTGGCCGTCAGGATGGAGGAGGCAGGAAGCTCATGGTTTCCGGCAACAGGAGGAAGGTTCGTGCTCCACGGGCAGATTTGCCACTTCAGAGTAGATGCAGCGTGCTGGGAACTTCTTTAGGCAGCTGGAGAAAGCCTCATGTGCCTTGTGTTTATGGGTAGCTTTAATCCCCCCCCCCCCAGTATCTGCTGGAAGCACCTATGGCTGGGAGCAAGCAACCTATGAGATTTCTGGAATCTACTGAAGATAAATTTCTTGATGCAGTTCATTGATCAGCTAAATAGGAGAGCTGGTCTGCTGAACGTGCTGCTCAGAGACAAGAAAGAACTGTTGGAAGATGCAAAGGCCAAGGGCAGCCATGGCTGCAGTGACCACGAGGCTGTGGAGCTGAAGACTCAGAGAAGAGTAAGAGAAACAGAATTACAATCCCGGACTTCAGAAGAGTGGATTTGGGGCTGATGACATGCAAGGCTGCAGTTGTCTTTGAAAGCTCATACTGGTGCAAGGATGTTCCTGGCAACTGGAAAAAGGTGTCATACCCATCTTCAGGAAAGGCAAGAAAGAAGATACAGGGTTGATCTGATGACAGGCTTGTCAACCTCACTGTAGTCCTTGGAAAGGCTATGGATCCAATCCTTTTAGAAGCTATTTCTAAAGCCTTCTGTGTCATGAAGGTCCAGGGGATCAGGAAAGATTGATTTATCAAGAGCAAATCACGGGTGAACGAACTCATTGCTTTTTATAATGAGTCTGCTGCTGCTATGGGCAAGTGGAGACCAATGAATGTTGCACACAATATCTGTGAATGTTGCATACCTTGACTATTGTAGGAAGACCTCTGAAACAGTCTCTCGTAGTCTTCTTGTCACCAAATTTATGAGATGTGGGATGGATAAGTGGACAATAAAGTGGGTGGTAAATTGACTGGGCTGCTGCGCTCAGAATTGTGATCAGAAGTACAGAGTATGGCTGGCAGCCGGTAATTATTGGTGTTCTTCAGGGACTGGTAGGTAGGAACAATTCTGAGGGCAGCCTTAGAGAGAGAAACCTACTACAGTCCTCTCAGCGTAGTACCAAACACTTGGAAAATCCTGGGTTTTTTGAATGCTGATTCTTTCTTGTAGTGTGGTCACCATTGTCTTCCCCCTTGTGGGTAAAATTAGATAATGATCCTTCATTAATTACTTGAGAGGATGATTAATTGAGGAACGTACGGAAAAAATCCAATCATTAATGCAAAAAATGAACAGATGTTCAGAATTACTGAGGATGCAAATATGACTACATAGGCTCCGACGAACTACAGTCCTATTTCTCCAGAAGCGTGTCTTTAAAACAGCTTAACAGAAGATGCAATTTGATATTCTGTGTGATCGGGACTAACTCTTTTTCTCTTTTTTTAATAGTACTACATTGAAGAGACAATTATTGAGGAGGGTGAACCACATGAGGTAAAGGTCCCTGTGATGTTGTATGTGATGTGTATGTGCATGTAATTAGTGCATAATGCTAAATCAGTGGCCTTTTGTATTCTGAGGAGTATTTTTTCATATTAAACACACAAATATCAGTGAACGGTTGCTTCTTAATACTTTATTTCCTCTGCGAGACCCTGTTATGAGATGATCTAGAGGACTCCTAGCTTGTTCTGAGTATCCTATCTGCCACTCTTTGGTTTCCATTAGCAGGAGCAGTGGATGTGTCCGCCAGGAAAGGACTGTGCTGATCTGTGTCCGGCACTGCATCTTGCTGATAGTCTGCTCTTTGCTCCTGCCCGGCAGCTAGGTTTGCACAAGAGCTGGCAAAATGAAACAACAGGTTATGTTGGCAGGAAGGTTGCTTAGGTAACGTAGGGACAAAACCCAAGCATTAGTATTAAAGGTGAACAGAGTTATCGGGGATGTGAATGTGACTAGATATGTACGCATGAACAACAGGCACATACATGCATTACACTTAACTTTATTATGAAGAGAGATCTAAAAACATTCTGCCTGAAACCACTTTACATGTATCAGTTCTGTTCCCTGCACCTGGTATAATTTCACTGAAAATTGGTGATTTGCAGATTTTTTTTCATGTCACAGATAACAAACTTTTGAGTGACCAAGGAGTTATTACCATAATTTGAAATTCTGCTTGTAATATAGACATAACCCAGCTCTCTGCAACGTTAGCATTAAATATTCTTAATGGCAAAGGCTCATGCAGAAACAAAAGCTTGATGTCTCACTTTGTGGGGGTGTTTCCTTCCAAACAAACGATCTGTTCCCAAAGTCTTCTGATATTTTTAGTTTAATAAAATACAATTTGATTAATACTGTTTAAGCAAGTATCCTAGGACTACACTTTTGAAGAAAGACTGCCATCTTATTATTTTTAGGATTAATTTGTCCACTGCATTCATTAGGTGTTCTAAAATCTGTAGCCAGACTGGATTTAAAGGGAGCAATAGCATGCCTGATTATTTCTGCGTCTGATTTGCATCAGTTTTTGAAAACAGTATTATGGAGTGAAGAATTGCTTATGAGTACGAATGTCTTTCTAGCTAATGTGATCGGACCTTTTCCCATCAGCTGTAAATACAGTCTAATGCATTAGTGTCGTGTGCTCCTGTGAGTTACCATATGAAATTAAAGGCATTTTCTTGCACAAAATGCTGCATTTTCAGAATCGAGCCTCTCCAAGTTTTAGACATATGTTACAACTTCTTACAAAGGCACATAGCTTCACTGTTTCGTTATAAGGCTAACGGCAGGTAGTGTTTGCCTAGACAGGTGTCAAACTCTCCAGTGATTCCAGTGCCAAAACTTGGATGAACACTCGTATATTTGGGAAGAGTTGTAAGAGAGAAACTTGTGGCCATGCTGAAGTAACTAGTAACATCCTGGGACAACATTACTGAAATGCAATTAATGTTCACATGGTAAACAAACCTTTTGGAATTTAAGTTTTGTATACTTCTCAATTTCATGTTTAACGCTTGGTACATTTTCTGGTCTGTCTCATACTAATTCAAATAGCTATCAGAAATCTGAGCTTCAGGCCTTCCCTTTTAAAGTTGCTTTTTTTAAAGCTAATTGATATGAAATAAAAGTTGACACTTATTCAAGTGATTTTGGAGCACATTTTCAAGATGTAAAAATTATTTTTAAATGCTTTTAGTTAGAACCTTACTATTAAAATAATTGCTTACAGCATGAATATGTTGATAAACAAAGAACATAAGCAGTTTATATTAATTAATGGCTTATTTCCAATGGATGCTTAATCGATTGATTGAATAAGTATCTCAGCTATGTCTCTGCCATGATTGTGATCTGGCTATGGGAAAATGTAGTTTAGTAGAAAAGGTGGGTTCTAGGTTATTTGTTCAGTCAGCTGGTGCATCGTGTACTTACTACAAGATCCCAAAGACTTGATCTTGTCTATCTGCTGTGTCTGTTTCTTTCTTTTTGCAAGAAGAAAATGATCTTTTTGCATAACTATTCTCCTTTGACCTGCTTTCACATCATTCAATGACATCATTAGGAGCCCTGGCCCTGTGACCTGCGTCTTCAACACAGCTTCGGCAAGGAGAACATTTCTACCCTTTGGTTTTAGTTGCCGATTGTCCCACCTGAAAACTCCCCTGATGCCAGTGGAGGTTATGCATGTAGAACAGAGGCAACAGGAGCCCCACTCTTCCAGTTCCTCTGGAGAATAATTACATGAGTGTGATGCAGAGATCAGCCAATCAGTTAATTCCTTGTGGTTTTTTTTAGGTTGGGTGATGCATAGTAAGCATAGTGGGTAATCCTAGTAAGAAAAGTGTCACTGGTTTTCACTCTTGAGGGTGGTTCCTGTGTAAGAACCGAGCAATGTTTTACTGGATAAGAGAGGTGAAAAATGCTTATCATAAAATGATGATTTGTAGTTATAAAGCAAGTAATTTTTTTTTTTTCGTTATTCCTAGGTGGTCACTGAGATCACTGAGACCATTAGCACAGACTTCACAGGTCCTAGAACTACCACCTATACTGTTGAGCATGAAAAACCTGCGGTTGAGGATGCAGCACCTCCAGTCAGAAAGAAGATAATTCGGACAAAAGTGGACCCATCTAAGTTTTTGACACCTTACCTCCAACACAGTAATAAAATGAAGGACCTATTCAGTGAGGTAATTTGTCCCATGTCTTTTATTTCTCAAGGAACACCAACTTTAAAAATATTCGACAGGTATTAGTGTAAAGTTTCATACTACCATTTTGGCTCCTGTACTTCATTTCATGACGTGTTTTAGTGTGATTTGCTTCTTGGAATTAGCCAATCTCTTGCCCATTTCCTGTTTAAGAGCATTAGGTAATCATTAGGCACGAAAAGTGGCTTGAGGCAGATGGCTGAAGATTGTAAGAGGTGTCAGTTAGTAGGACTCCTGCTCTATCTGACTTGGATGTCTGAGTGAGGGAAGGTAATGGGGGCTAATGTCTATCGGATAGCAAACCTCAATATTTTTCATAATGGTAAATTTCTATATACCTCTGTATATATCCAAGAAAAATCCTAGTGCACAGTATATACGAACAAGCACCAACCTAAATCTGTTGTACAGGATACCAAAGTTTAGTAAACCAATACTGTACGACATTGTAAAAAGTGGAAAACAACTGCTCTGCACAGATGTAGATGGTATCAGATCTCTTTTCCTAAATTTTAATGTATATTACCTACCAGCGTTCACTGCTAAAGGATTACATGAGATCGTAGGTCTAGGACTGCTGCCCTCAACCACATATTTTCCTTATCTTTGGTCACTGAAACAAATAACTGTAAATTGGTCAATACTAAGCTCCTAAAGAAAGTATGATCAATTAGAGGTGATCTAAACCAGGATAAAGTTAGAAATGTTTTTTTTTTCTTCTATTGTGTCAGATGGAAGAAAGTCAGCTGCCTAAAATAAGCAGAAGTCTGCAAATGTAACTGAGTAATGCTAGTTTGTATTCCTGAGTAATCTACCCCAAATTCCTATGCGAACCAGAAATACAAATTTATAATTGCTACAAAATTCTGCCAGAGCTTTAGGATATGTCTTAATAATATTTGTCATTATTTTCTTTCAGAACAAATACAAAGAAAAATATAGAAAAGAAAAAGGAAAGCCATATGCTTCCACAATTGATACACCTGAAATTCGGAGAATCAAGAAAGTGCAAGACCAGCTTAGTGAGGTAGGTAACAATTGTTGTAAGAAATAATATTTACTGCATGGTAAAGAAGCAAATTGAGCCAAAATTTTAAACGTTAGATAAGAAGTGATTATTTTTTGATGATATTGTGATAAGGCAATCTGAACGTTTGGCAGAAACTTTATCAGATTACAAGAGCGAGGAACGCAGAGTATATGACAAATTTGAGTTCTGCTATGTAGGTTGGAATTTAGGCCTTTCAGGAAGGGAGATGTGATGGTTCCTTTCCAGCTGAATAATAGCCCTGCTTCATTGTGCCTGAAGAGGTGTGACAATTTCTGATCAGAAGTTACAGGCACAGGAGATGATGGTGATGCCCATATCACTGAATATGAAGATTCCATGACCTACAGTCATCATGAATGATGTACCTGATGATTTTTGTTTAGGTTAAGTTGTGCACGGGGTAAACAACCATAGAATTTTGTTTTTAAAAATGTGCTTAAATATTTTTGTTTTCATAAAGCTGCCAAAAGTCAATTTCTTAAAGAAATACTGGAAAAATTATGCTTAGATTCTCCAAGTGTTGCAAAATGAACTTCTGTACATCTTGTCACTTACTAAGGGATTTTCCAAGATGTGTTATCCCCTCTGTGTGACTCCCACTCTGTGATCTGCCTTTGAAAGCTAGCCCAAGTGCAATTGCCCCACTGATGCAGTGCCTCTAGTTCTGGAAGGTAGCTCATCCTCCCCTCTTTCTTTTAAGCAGCTCTAGTCTACCTTTCAGCAATACACCTCACAGTCTGGGAAACTGAAATTCACCTACAAAGGCTTTTTTTTTCTTTGTACAGTAAATAGGGAGAGTTGGGTCCCTAGGAACGGGAATCCCAAAAGTGGAGAGGGTAGTCACCTAACCTCACCGGTGTTCAGGAGAAGAGTGTGTGTTAAATTCCACTCCACTCCTGACTTGGCATGTATTGAGGAATGCGATGTAGCAATCCATGTGCTGGTGCTGACTGAGCCTGCTGTCAAGCTGGGAGTGGTGTAACCGCGTTAGGACGGTTTTGTACCCAAGCTGCTGGTTTGCCATGGTAAAGCGGCTGTGTTGCTTTTGGCACTACAGCTAGAGTTTGTGTGGTAACGGACTGTGAAATTGAGGTGTGCTGCATAGCATGGGGATCTCCCTGTCTCTGTACAGGGTGGAAGCACTCTGAGAAAGAGCTCTGTGATTACAGAAGGGCACTACTTCTAACCTGGATTCACATTTCCTGAAACTGTCTCAAAGCTGCGTGTCTTTCTCAGTTAATTCACAAATTCCTTTCGTTTCCAAAGGTTTTGTTTCTAAGGAAAAACTAGTCCTAAATGCTTTATTGAATTCAGGTTTTGGCTCTTTATGGTATTAAGTGTCAACATGTCAATATTCTGCTTTTTTAAATAAACTGTCAGGTTTTGTTGTAAGAATAAATGCCTTTTGTTATGCATCGATCTAGGTTAAATACCGCATGGCTGGTGAAGTTGCTAGAACTATTTGCCACATTGATGAAAAGGCCAAGGATATAGAACATGCAAAGAAGGTGTCACAGCAAGTGAGCAAGGTGAGCGAGTTCTGACTTTCTGGAAGGGTTGTGAACATTCGTGGATTGTGAGGTTACTGATATAAATAAAGTTTTGAGCTCAGGACACTAAAGCAATGTTTATTGAACAGTTTAGAGGCACAGGGAGAGATAGCAGAGAAGTTAAGGCAAGTAGAAATATCTTAAATGTTTTCAACTGATGTTATCAAATGTCACTGGTTTGAGACTTTCACTTTGAAAAAAATCTTTAGAGTAGGTAGTTTATTCACAAAAGTGAAGATTTTTCTCATGATAGAGTAACCAAGGTGCTGATATTTCTTTCTAGGTGTTATACAAACAGAACTGGGAAGAGAATAAGGACAAGTACCTGCTTCCCCCTGATGCTCCAGAGCTTGTGAATGCAATAAAAAACACAGCAATGTTCAGCAAGGTAAGAAAAAAAAAAAAAAAAAATCACAGGCCTTGGTAGCTGAAGTGCAAAAAGCATTCCAAGTCAGAGATTAATTCGTAATGAGTATTCTGGCATTTTCCTGTTTTTTAGAAACTCTATACTGAAGAGTGGGAAGGAGACAAATCCTTATTCTATCCGTACAATGACAGTCCAGAGCTCAGAAGGGTTGCACAGGCTCAAAAGGCTCTGAGTGATGTAAGTATGAAAGCCTAATTGACAGCTGGGCTACAGTGTAACTTGGTAGACATCGTGGTGGACTTTAACTAGATATAAAAACTTCATACTGGAACAGAAAATAAAAGTGCGTAGGTGTGCACTGATAGATAGCTCTGATAATAGTGTGATTTCAACTGAAAAATACGTACTCTGTGTTAGAGTATAAATCTGTTGGCAGTTTGATGCTGAATTATGAATGAACGGGGTAATTAATTTATCAAAGATCTTCTGAGGTGATTGGTAAGAAGGCCTTGAATAACCCTCAGAATGTATGAAGAAACTCTCATGGCTGGCTGTAAGCCCAGTTCACTGTTGTGGGTCTACAAATCTGTCTCTCTAAAACAGTGATAAGAAAAGTCAGGAATTCATGAGGCTGTGTGATTTGCTGATACTTAGACACGTAGAACTCCTTAACTGAAGGTGACCTCACTTAAGAATTTCAGTGATATTTTGCAGATGTCCAGAAGTTCACTAGTCCATATTTATCAGGAGCAATAGAGTAATATACTTCAAAACTTTCTCAGGGAACTGAGTCTTTTTCACAGTTTCTTATCAAGAGACTTCTCAGTAGTCCTCCAGAGTACGCTGGCTGGAAGAGTTTATGCTGCAGTAGCTGTGGACAGAACTACTTTCGCTAATGGTGGTGTTAGCAGAATTAAGGGTAAATGTTCTGATGCTGAAGTTAGTGGTTACTGTGAATGCTTACTTCCTTCATATTTTCAGATTGTCTACAAAAAAGGGCATGATGAACGAAAATCTAAATATACTTCTCTGCCAGATCCACCTGATGTGGAACAAGCCAAGAAAGTGACAAGGCAGCTGAGTGATGTGAGTAGAATGCAGTGCTCTTCTTTCCATAGAAACCTCACTTTTGGAGTTAGAGAGGCAAAAAGGTCCCTGAAGAAAGGGAAAGCAAAAGAAAAGAGCAGGCTCATATGAAGACCCCTTTGTTTTTCAATGGCAGAATTCAATTCCTTTCTTTCTCAAGGGTTTCAGAGAAAAATCCTGCCCAGTCTCAGGTGAAAGGCGAAACTTTATTCTTGTCAGTGAATTTAGTTTTCACAAAACATTTCTACTTCTGCTATATCCACATTACTTCCTATTCTCCCTCTTTTTTTGTCTCCTGCTTTACGCTTTCTGTGTTTACAGGAGAAAATAGTAAATAATATCCATTTCTCTGTTCTCTTAAATGTAAACAGTGACATGTAAATGTAGATCTGGTATTGGAGTGAGTTACTTGCTTACAAGGAATAACCCCATTTTGCTGAAAAGTTGCCTAGGTCAACTGCACAGAATACATTTTAAGTGTTTATTTCAGTCTCAAACCATTGTACACGTACATATCCCAAGCTTTCTTAAGTTCATGGATACCAATCAGTGGAAACCTCTGGCAACTTAGCTAACTGTTTCCTGATTTGCCCACCGAATTAACGAGCAACATTCAACATTAAATTCCGTAATTGTGTGGCATGATTAACAAAGACTCTGGCACCAGTCCTTGTCAATAGATTTTAGGTGTATTTAGAATAAAGCACAGCTGAGGAATGTGGGAGGTGGAGTGAGATACAGGACGACCAATTTTTGCTGAAGAAACTGGAACCAAGTTGTATTATCTTGTAAGACAGAAGTAGGTTTTTAACTCAGTTCAGAATTTAGGTATTGTGAAGAGGACATGTATGGTTTTATTGCTGTGTATTGAAAATTATCTGCTATTTAAGGTTAGAGAGTTACAGTATTCACTTACGGTTGCAAAACCACTAAGAAAATGTTGTGGTGAACCCATTTGTAAGGTGAAAGAAGGTACTATTTCTTTTAGAGGAAATTTCTTTAATCTTACTCTTCCATAGCTTAAAAACTAAATTGTCATTAAGGAAACTTTTAGATAAGTAAAAAGTAAGACCAGTATCATAGTTCTTTGAAATGAATAAAATAGTAAGCTATATAGGTATCTCCAAAACAGTACAATGTAGAATTTTTTAAGGTTGTTTTTGCCATATATGTTCTTTATCAACGTGGTAACTATTGAAAAGACATTGGAGAAGTTGTGGGTTTTGTGATATGCAATGCAACGGTGGCTGAAAATGCATTTGGAACACAGAATCAAAACGTGGGAAGATGTTTTGTTATTAGAAAGACGGGATCTGTCTGCTTAAACAGTTGATACGTGATTTCCATGTGCTTGATATAGTCTAATAGAAATCACATATAGCAGGCGATCCATGTATTCAAAGAGTTTGCTTATAACAAGTTTCAGCAGCAGTAACTAAAAATTCTGGCTTAACCAAAGGGAATAACCAAGAGAAGACTGCGAGGGGACCTAAATAAATGCTTATAAATATCTCAAGGGTGGGGGTCAGGAGGACGGGGCCAGACTCTTTGCAGTGGTGCCCAGCGACAGGACAAGGGGCAATGGGCACAAACTGAAGCAGAGGAAGCTCCACCTGAACATGAGGAAGAACTTCTTCCCTCTGAGGGTGACAGAGCCCTGGCCCAGGCTGCCCAGGGAGGCCACAGAGGGCCCTGCCAACCCCGACCATACTGGGATTCTGTGAATATTATGTCAAAATATTATGTGACCAGTAAGCAAACAGAACTAAAGGAATATGTGAGTGATGTCTCATAGAGAGAATTTCTTATTAGTAGCTGACTTCTGGAAAGACTTAGTTGATCTGTTTGTCCTTTTTCTTGGTCAGGGGAGGTACTGAGAGAAAGAACTGAATACTGATGTGCTTAGGCCATACCATAGCTAGGTGTTTTTGACAGTAACTGATAAAGTGGTTGTAAGGCAGATGTAAAATGTGAAGAAACTTTAAAAAGAAGACTTTTAAAAACAGATCTGTGAAGTGAAAATTGAGCTCTATCTTGGGGATTAAATTTTATTTTTATATTTCATTATAGATTATTTACCATGAGGACTATAAAAACAAGATCAAAGGCAAGTGGAGTCAAACTCCATGCTATGATGTTGCAGTTGCGAAAATGAATGCAGAAAATATAAGTATGGTAAGTAATTTCTTCAGAAAGTCTTGAAATGAACATCTTTATCCTCTGTTTATGTTAACATGGAAAATACTGATTAATTTTGCCTTCTCCCTTTGTAGTATTTCTCTTTTCCTAAATAATCTACTTCATGGATGGCAGATTTTAAATGTAAGTGCATTTGATATATTGTTATCTGTTTGTCTCTGTTCCTAACAGAAAAAATACCAGGAAGACTTTGAAAATGAGAAAGACCAGATCTACTTTATGCAGACTGAGACTCCAGAATATGAAGCTAATAAGCGAGTTTCAAATAATGTCAGTAAGGTATGTTATGTGTGCTCCCATTTATTTAGCTGGAGTATAGTTCTGAGGTCAGGCTGGTTTGGGCTGAAACTGTTTTCTCAAGTGTCAAAAGCATTTTCTTATATGCGAAAGAGGTGTTCTTGTGTGCGTTCCACTAGGAAGTCTATAACAACTCCTAGCCATGCTTATGATCTTTCACAGTAGTACCCATGAAGAATTTTCTTTCAGTGAAGTAGAATTTACTTCATTTTTGTTCTGATTATGTGCCTGATTTTTAGTTGGAACAAATCAATACGGTTAAGCAAGGCCAACATAAGGTAGCTGAATTTGGCTCAGTATTTTCATATTTATTCATCCTTGCTCAGTGTATCTCAGTGATGTTGTGCTGGCCCATCTTTTGTTCAAAATACAGAATTTGTTTGCCTTCTGCATTTTCTGCAATAGCGCACACATCAGCAAAGACAACCTTGTGTCCTTAATTGTAAGAATGTGACTATTCTGAGATGTGATATTTGAAAGATTACAGTGTCTGGAGAGGGGCTTAGATGTGGGGATATCTGCTAAATAGCTCTCACTTATCTTCTGACCCTGCCTCCCATGAGACCCATGCACTCCTGTGATCTGAGTGCCTTTCGTGGTCCTTTGCCCTTATGAATCATGAGTTAAAAAACAGGGGAGATTTTCCAGAGAAGTTCAAGATGATACAGATTAGTGAGTGTTTTGCTTTTAATACTGAGTTTTAAAATCTCACCCTGTTTATTTTTTTTTTTTAAGGTAAAATACAGAGCAGACTATGAAAAGAACAAAGCTATTGCAGATTATAATGTGCTTCCTGCTACAGAGAACCCATTGCTGAGGCAATTAAAAGCTGCAGGAAATGTGCTGAGCGATGTAAGTATTATCAAAGTACAGCTGGATGATTTTCAGTCATGTATGATAAACTAAACTCATAATTTCTTCATGAGGCTTCTCCTTTCGATCTCTTAGTGTCTTTAGCTTTATAGACCGATATGTGTCATGAGATACCACCAACCAGAACAGTATAGACAAGGAGTCATTTCTCCACAGCAGTGTTACAGTAGCTGTGGCATGTGATGAGGATAGCTAATTACCGTGTAGTTCATTGTAGTCCCTGTGCAAAATGGATCACAACATGACAGTTCTTCCCTTACTGTTCTAGGGAACTTCAACTGATGCCAATAATGATAGAATATGTGGTATTTTTTGCATATTCGTGTATGTTGTATTCTGGTTACTCACTGTAACGTCTTTCTCGATTTCTCTCTTCTTGCTGTTTTCATCTGTATGGAAAGAGACTGCATATTTCTCAGTGTCAGAAGTTCAAAAACCATTAATCAGAGCTTTCTGTCTTCTCTTAAAAACCCAAGAGTTACTATAAGAATTTTTTTCAAAAAATTGTTGGGGAAAAAAGTGCCATCTGTTTTTCAGTCTTCTGGGAAAGCTTCTTCTTTGCAATCATTTCACAGTTTTATCTTGTCATTTTTAGTGTGTTGTGAGTGAGTTGAGTGAAATCTGCTGCATTATCTGCCATTATTTTCTTTTGCAGAAATTATACAAAGAAGCCTATGAACAATCAAAAGCCACCAGCATAAATTACTGTGACACACCAAAGTTCCAGACTGATACTGTTCTGAAGAATTTTAGTGATGTATGTATTTGATTTATGTTATGTCGTTCAGTACTGACACTCTTGAGTACTTTTGTTTATCAACTTGTGGTTGTGTTTCCAGGTAAAATACAAGGATGGGTATCAAAAGAATATTGTAGGACACTATTTGGGCAGCTTTGAGGACCCACATCATACACATTGCATGAAAGTTGAAGCTATGAAGAGTGATGTAAGTGTGGCAATCATTCTGTTTTCACCATCATACTTTAATTCCAGAGAAAGCTTAATTATGGTTTCTTACTGAACGTTGGTTTTATTCCTAGAAAAATTACAAAGCAGATTATGAGGAGGAAAAGACAAAATGCTACTTCCCTCAGACCCTAACTCAAGAGTATGAAGCTATTAAGAAGTTAGAGCAGTGTAAAGATGTAAGTACGGGACGGTAGTGGTTATCAAGTAACCAGTTACATGCAGAGCATCTGCTTCTGAGGCGTGTAGAAATTTACAGAGAGATTCCTGTTAACTTTGATGGTTTTGAAATTGGCTTTATTAGCATATGTGACTTTTAAAAACCATATTCATCTGTATTTTTGAGCCTTTTGTGACATCTAGTGATCAAGACAGATATAGCACAATCTTTTTTTTGACAAGTCGAAACATAAAATTAGAGGAATAGTACCAAAATGAGGAATGAACCTCAAGCATTTACCTGCTTAAGTCAACATATTTTTACATTACTCCTTTAAAAGTACTGTAGTTACTTTATTAATACTGATTTTATTTACTTTATCAATACTCGGTAAATACTCTAAATATGTATCTGTATATACTATACTAAAATGTATATACTGTAATGTGTATAATATGTTATAATGTGTACTATACATTTTGATATGTAGATACCTATTCAAAATATTTTACATTAATATTTTAAAAATGCTTTTAAAAATTTATTTGCTCTCTGATTATGCTAAAAACTAACATGAGAACCATTGTGCATCACAGTGCTTATCTGCATGCATGCCATAACTGCTAACTATCCCAAGTAATGCTACATTGCTATGTCTTATGAAATAGCTTTGCTTATATGAATTTTCTGCAAATATATTTATCTTCCTTCAGCACACCTACAAAAAGCATCCTGATCAAACCAAATTTACTCAAGTGACTGACTCTCCAGTACAGAAGCAAGCAGAGATCAATAGCAAACAGCTGAGTGATGTAAGTAGATTTAGAAAACATGTTGCTACATTCTGACATTATAGATTTCTGCACTGTGGCCACCTTCACTTTATTATCCAGTTTTAAGAGAACGCCTGAAATGAATGTATAGGTGAATGTGTGTACCTGTACACATGCACAAGCGCAAAACCACTGGTGTGTATTCCCAGTTCTGTTCCAGTGGAAGATCACCTGGAGATCAGGGGGTTTTTTTTAGTTTTTCAGTTTGCTGTTCCTGTCAATTTTTAGTGTATATGTCTGTAATCTTGCTAATGTCTGTCATTCACACCAGTTAAGTCGGTGGGGTTTATACCATTCACTTGGCGAATTTCAACTCTCTCTGTGTGAGTGAGGTAGTATGAGACCTTTAAGTTGTGTCACTCGGCATTATTAAGCATTTACACTCTATAATAAGCATTGGGCTGCTAAATGTATTTATTTTTCTTTGCAGATAATGTATAAATCCAAAGGTGAAGAAATTATTCACAAGTACCACCTCCCCCCAGATGTGCCCCAGTTTATACAGGCTAAAGTCAATGCCTACAATATTAGTGATGTAAGTATATTTTTAATCCAGAGATCTTGATTGAATTTACAATATGAAGTTTCTGTTAGCTAGAGACTGTTCATTCAAAATCACCTTTTCTTCTAGAACTATTACAAAACAGGACTGGAAGAATTAAAATCAAGGGGATATGATCTAAAAAGTGATGCTATTCCTATCCGAGCTGCCAAGGCTGCTAGGCAGGCTGCCAGTGATGTAAGTACATCCTTCCTAAAGGAGCTGTTTAATTCGAAAGAGTTTACTTAAATGATGTTTGCAATTATGTTTGTTAAGGATATCTGAAGGATAACTACTTTGTTGCCCTTTTTGACCATGTTATTGGATGTATTTAACACATTTATATTTTTACTGGTGTTTCATTGCTCCACTAATGTATTAGTATAATTATATTTAGAAAAGGCTATTTCATTATGTAATTATCTGTTAATAAATAAGGCTATCTTGCGCTCCAGTACGATTAAGGAAAATCATGAGGAGTAGGTCAGCAGTGACAGCTCCATGACCCTTGAATTCTCTCTGTCCTGAATTATAGGCCTGATCATAAATGAGATGAAGGACTCTAGGACATCACTGGGTTTTGGGTAGATTCTTGGGGATCCCTTAGTGTTTTAAGGCTCCTCTCCCTCTTGTGATCAGTACAAGTGAGATAATACTACTTTGAAAGCTAACTGGTTTGTGTAGCCATGAATTGTAGAGATACACGTGTCTGGTTTTGTTAAGATACATGTCACTGGCTTAAATGTGAGGGATATTCTTTGTAGAAAACAAAGGGTAGCCTTTGCCTTTAATTTACTTATTGCTAAGTTACTCGCTTAATATGATATTCTCCGGTTTCTGTTATATTCTAACAGGTTAACTATAAAAAAGACTATGAACTTGCCAAGGGTAAACTCGTTGGCTTCAAGAGCCTCCAGGATGATCCCAAACTCGTTCATTATATGAAGGTAGCCAAGATGCAGTCTGAGCGAGAGTACAAGAAAAATTACGAGCAAACAAAAACAAGGTACAACATTCCACTGGATATGGTCAATGTTGTTGGTGCCAAGAAGGCTCAAGAGATTGCCAGCAATACTAATTACAAGAACCTCCTGCACCACTATACTTATTTACCAGATGCAATGAACGTGGAGCTGACGAAAAATATGATGGAGATTCAGAGTGATGTAAGTAAAACCTCCTGTGGACAGAATTTTTTTGAGATGCCTCAAGCGAAAACTGTGGAGACTCAGAAGAGGTCCCTAAATTATTTTTTCCAATTCCTAACTTTTAAAACATTGTTTTCACTCTCTTATTAGAATGCATACAAAGCAGATTATAATAGCTGGATGAAAGGCATTGGCTGGATCCCCATTGGCTCATTGGATGTAGAGAAAGCTAAAAAAGCTGGAGATGCCTTGAATGAAAAGAAATATCGTCAGCATCCAGACACCATTAAATTTACAAGTGTGGTGGACTCTCCGGTAATGGTCCAAGCCAAACAGAATTCAGTTCAACTCAATGACGTAAGTAGAGAAAGAAATGGGTGTTATGGTAGAGGTGTATCTACTGAGGATTTGAGCGTTGTCTTTAAAATTTTTTAAGTACTATAAGCCTGAAAGTGTTTCTATGTGTTGTCATTGTTTTGTGCTCTGATTTTGACTGAGTAATTTCTTGGTCTAAGTCTGCAAATCTCTTGTAGAAATCATGTGGCTCTTTCAATTCACATCAGCTGATTCTGTCCATTTAGATTTTAAAGTAAATTTCAAATACATTTGATTAATGTGAAGTTTTCAAGTTGTTTATTGATATTTTACCACCTACAGTGATGAACGAATTAGAGAATGTTTGATGAATCACAATACGTCCATCATTATAAACCAGCAAGCTTTGTTTTATGTTACACTCTCCTATCATCCCGTATTATCCCACTCTTTCAGAAAAGGATTTTTATGTCCCTCATTATCCCACTCTTTCAAAAGTTGTTTTTTATGCCCATTGAAGCACTCAAGTTTACTGAGTAAAACTGCATGCAGCTTTTAGGGTGCACTCCTTCTATCAATAATATCAACAATTCTGTATGAAAAGTGCAGCCTCAGTCTGTAGGAGATAGGTGGCAACGTACATTTATTTGCAAAATCAAATGTAAACCCTCAGTTAATTCACAGTGAGCTGGGGCTAGGTATAAAAGGAAAAAAGGATTTATTTCTGTATCATACATTTTACAGAAACTATACAGATCTTCTGGAGAGAAAGTTAAACACAAATATACTCTTACCCCAGATGTCCCACAGTTTATCCAAGCCAGATACAATGCAGCCAACGTCAGTGATGTAAGTGACTTCTTTACAACATGTTTTACACACTGTTAATGAATTTTTGAGTAATATGTTAGTTACACTCATGTTGCAGATTCCTTTTGCTGATACGCAGTTCTGTATGATCAGCTTGTGTCACTGTAATTGTTCATTCTTGGAGTCGTTTGAATTTCCAACCAGAGACCATTTAATCATGTAATGATTTAATTAATTTAATTGATAGATACATGTGTTCTCATAATTGAAGACTGATAGTTGTATATGAACCCCAGTGCATCTGCTTCTGAAGAATTGCCTGGAGTAGCTTAGGAGTAGGGTTGACTTGCATATAGTACATGTGTTTTACGAAGTTGTATAGAATAACGTGGATTTTCTTTTTTAGGCATATTATAAACAAGACTACCATGATCTAATAGCTAAAGGGAACAATGTGTCACTTGATGCTATTCCAATTACTCGAGCCAAGGCTTCAAGAAACATTGCTAGTGATGTAAGTATCTATTCCAGGTATACTTAGGCATTTAGTAAAAAAGTTGTTCATTGCAGGCCATAGGGTAGACCTCATATGTTGCACAAGTCTCACTAGAGTCAGTATTATGAGCAAGACAGTCTTTTCCAAAGGCTTAGTTTGTGTAGAACTTATTTTATGCTCATCTTGTTTGCATTAGATAGGCAAATGCTACTGCACTGTGTTTCTTAACCCACTTTTCACAGGAGAAATCAAATCAGTAGTTCTTGCAATCATTCTGTGACATATTTCCAGAAAATACACTACAGTAGCACCTGTTTACAGACCACGAGACAATATGTGCTAAGGGTGCTTTTGGTTATACAGTGGAGTAAGGCTTATACATGAATCAGAAGCCTTTAAAGCACCAATTGTATAAAGCGGGATATGTTTTAGGCGTTTCATATAACTAGAGGAAACTGCCCAGTCCATATGCCATTTGTTTGCTGTTGCTTTCAGATGACTGAGAAGAATTGTCTCAATTATTCTGATATTTTTCATATACTTTTCCACAGAGGAATGCTTAAGAAATGTTTTCCCTTCCTTACAAGAAAAGCTAGTCTTGATAAATCTTGTTGTGGTGTATGTAACCTGTTGTGTACAGGCTTAGACAGTGGAGCAAGAAAAGCTAATGTGCGTACAGTCGTAGGGTGTGCTACTTAGGAGAGTTTATCTTCTGAGCTGCTTTTTCCAATGAAAGCTGTGAGAGCTTTTCTTTGCTTTTCTTTAGCATTAGTGTGGACATCAATAGCCATGCCACAGTACATTTGATCTCTTTCCTCTGTTTCTAGTATAAATATAAAGAAGCCTATGAAAAAGCCAAAGGAAAGCAAGTTGGTTTTAGAAGCCTGCAAGATGACCCTAAGCTCGTCCACTACATGAATGTAGCAAAGATTCAGTCTGAGCTTGAGTACAAGAAAGACTATGAGAAGACCAAGACTAATTATCATACACCTCCTGACATGTACAGTATCCAGGCTGCTAAACAGTCTCAGGATGTAGCTTCTAATGCCCACTACAAAAATCTGATCCATCACTACACTTATCTGCCAGATGCCATGGATGTTGAGCTTGCAAAGAACATGATGCAAATTCAGAGCGATGTAAGTATTTCAACCATTGCAATTTAATGGGTGTTTTCCTGCACACTATTAAAACTAAAATACGAATTTATATTCAATGAAAATTGCCCTCACTGTATGGGAATCACCTGTTTTTCTTATGTCTTGGGGAAGATCATTAGAAGTTTTATCAGCTGGTGGTGGCATTTAGAAATACCAAATTCCAGGTGGATTCTACTGAACAGGGTTTTGATGTTGGCCTATCAGTGGAGAGCAGACTTCTGGAATACTGGATTCAAATGAATGTGTTTTTTTCACATTTCCTCAGAAAACTTTATTTTGCAACTAACATGATTTTGTTTTATTCTTTAAGACTTCTTTTAAGTTGTCTTGCTTTGTCTTCACATGAGATAGATATGATAATGTAATTGGACTATTATTAACTATTTAGGATGAAGGAGCGGACAAAATGTAACTATTGGTATTATTAGAAAAACATTCTGCAGGTCTCTAGCATAGGAGGTCTCTCCTAGGACCTCTCAGTCCTCCTTCCAGATACCGAATTTCGAGTGGTTGACTGGGCATAGATGGTTGCACTGTGCACCTCTTTGTATATCGTGGAATTCGACTGCATATGGGTCCCTATGCAGGACCACTCATTCTAGAGTTAGAACACAGAAGGGTCTTAAAAAAGAGTGTCCACAATATCCTTGCATTCAGACTGTGCGTTAACCCTGGCTGAATGTTTATATGGGATAACCTTCTGCATATTTTGTAGCCAGGATAAATTTTTCACTTGCAGTCTCTGAATTCTGCATATTTTACTGTAGGGGGAACTATAGGAAGAAATCAAAAAACTGAGCCTGTCCAAGAACTGAGGCTCTGCTCTGTGGACCTTTGTATAAGGCCAAGTCTCACAGAGTCTGCTGAAACGCGGAACAAATTAAAACATGTTAAACGCTCATCATGTGTTAGCTTAGAAGTTATTAAGAATTGAAGGTTGGTGTAATTTTTTGCATCAGTAAAAGAAAAGGAAGGTTAGTAAATACTGAAGACATGTTACAGTTTATAAGAAATGAATCGTGAATCAAAAATACAATAGCTCGCTTTCTTCCTTATGAAATCACAGACAAGCATAAAAAAAATTGTTGCTTCCTTCAAGAATTTATAAATATGCCCTGCTAATGTAGAACACACTAGATAGACTATGTGATTATTGTATTAAACAGAATTATTACAGTTCTGTGGGAAAGTCTTGGTCCATGTTGGCTTTCTCTCCTTCAGAATGCATACAAACAAGAGTATAACAGCTGGTTCAAGGGCATTGGATGGAGTCCTCTCGGTTCTCTGGATGTTGAAAAAGCCAGAAAGGCTGGAGATGCATTAAATGAAAAGAAATACCGTCAGCACCCAGACACCATCAAATTTACAAGCATACCAGATTCAATACCAATGGTTTTAGCTCAACACAACACCAAGCAACTGAGTGATGTAAGAATTTTTTTCATTATTAATGGAATATAGTGATTTTATTTTTTTACCTTATTTATGATTTGTGTGTTACTGTCTGATATTTGATCAGAATAAGCTTTAAATTTTAAAAATTGTAAAAAAAAGGAAAATTGCAATTTGTTGGTAAGAACTAAGCGTTGATCCTATTTGCCTCTATTTGTTAACACTGTTATTACCTACCTTATGCTTCTCAACACGTATTTGTTTATTTTTCCTTGCAGGTAACATATAAGCAAGAGGGTGAAAAGGTAAAGCACAAATACACCCTGGATCCTGATGTTCCTCAGTTTATTCAAGCGAGAGTCAACGCCTACAATTTGAGTGATGTGAGCATACAACCAGTAGTTTGTTCAATAATTTATTTATTAGAAAAAATAACTTTCATTTATTCATGCTGTGATATTGAATGTAGAAATGCACAAGCTCTGAATTCAGTTGAACTTTTACTTCTAGAAGGCAATGAGTTTTGTTCTTGTTGAGTAAATTTTTAAACTGTCCAAGCACTCGTAAACAAATGCATTTCAGTGCTTTATTGCCAGACTACATGGATAGACTGAATGAGAAAACCAGCATGACTTATTACTCAGATTCCTATAGGTTTGGAGACTCCTGTCGTCTACTTTTATATAAAACACATTGCGTAGGCAAGTGGTACCAGTTCTCTGTAAGTTGCTTCCTGCTGCTGGACTTTCAAAGGAAATTAACTCATCCAGTGGAAAGATTGTAATGCTTTTTTCTGCCATTCAGCTACTAGTCTGCCTGCTTTCCGTCACTTCTTGCATCATAGAATCATAGACTGCTTTGGGTTGAAAGGGACCTTAAGAGGTCATGTAGCCCAACCCCCTGCAGTGGGCAGGGACATCTTCAGCTCGATCAGGTTGCTCAGCACCCTGTCCTGCCTGACTTTGAATGTTTCTGGGGATGGAGCATCTACCACCTTTCTGGGCAACCTGTGCCAGTGGTTCACCACCCTCATGGTAAAAAATATCTTTCTTATATCTAGTCTGAACCTACTCTCTTGTAGTTTAAAACCTCTTGTCCTATCACAACAGGCCCTGATACAAAGTTTGCCTTCATCTTTGCTGTAGGCCCCCTTTAAGTACTGAAAAGCTGTAATAAGGTCTCTTCTCCACGCTGAACAGCCCCAACTCTCTCAGCCTTTCCTCACACGAGAGGTGTTCCAGCCCTCTGATCATTTTTGTGGCCTTCTCTGGGCCCATTCCAACAGGTCCATGTCTTTCCTGTGGTAAGAAGCATCATCCTTACCAATCTGCTTGGCTTTCAAAGCCCAAGAATTGCAGCTGATCATACAGGACATGATCAAGCCTTATATGCTAACACAACTCAGCCAATAAATGTTAAAAACGGAATAACCAAGTGCAGTATTCAAAGACAGGGGTTAAGTCCAAGAGCCAGTGGCTGTGCTATTGTATGAGGCACTGGAACTGACACGGGAACTGAACAGAGTGGAGAACCATTTGTAACTTCACAACACAATCTGTGCTTGTCAATGGTTTTGAGCAGTGATTTAAGGCAACCATGTTTGAAACTATACCCTTGAAAAATATCAGTGAACAAAAATATCCACAAAAAATGCCAAAACTATATTATACTGCTATCGAGATACACAAGCTAAAAAAGCTACCATTAAATGTCTGTTCCAGGTCTTTGTTTATGCCTCAAATATTTTTGCCTCGCTGCTAGTCAGCCTGTTAGATATCACATATTTTACTTTAGGCCAAAAATGCTGTATACTATTTGGAAATAAAGACTCAGGGGGGACTCAGCAGAGCGGGGCAGAGGGGCAGAATCCCCTCCCTCACCCTATGCCCACACTGCTGGAGATGCAGCCCAGGGCATGGTTGGCCTTCGGGGCTGCCAGCACACACTGCCGGGTCGTGTTGAGCTTCTCATCAACCAGCACCCCCACATCTTTCTCCTCAGGGCTGCTTTCCATCCCTTCATCCCCCAGCCTGTGCTGATACCAGGGACTGCCCTGACCCAGGTGCAGGACCCTGCCCTTGGCCTTGTTGAACCTCATGAGGTTCACACCCAACACCATAAAGATCTCCATTGATAGCAGCAATTTTATTGCCTTCATGATATTAAATTTCTAGTTGTCTTTATCAGGCCTCCAGGACCTAGGTAGAAGCTGACATCTCCTTTAAAAGCGTTGAAATAATATTAGTCTCTCCAGACGCTAATTGCTAGCAAAAAATCAGCCAGACTGCTTTCTTGAGTTGCTTAAGAGCACAAGGCCTGATTTTGAAGCTAACAGGAAAAAAATCTCTGAAGGTTCAGTCGAAAGAAAAAGAGGTTTGCTTAAGTAGGGGCAAAAATGCTGCTGATAGAGTTGTTCTGTGTTAAAATGGCAAAAAAAATGCTTACAGAGTTAACGAATTAGCTACATGAATTAAACAGATTGTCTTGAAGGACTCTCCTATCTTTGTGGTAGATTTATTTATCGTAATATAACTGTAGTTTGTGTGTAAGTTAACATTTTTCCTTGAAATTGCACAGGCTAAACTGAATATTTTGATTCATATAACTGTAATAAAAATATGGGCTTAAACAACTTTGTTGAAATTGCTATTCTTAACATTGCAAACTCATACCGTTTTTCCCTGTAAGGCTAACTACAAAGCAGACTGGAAAAAAACTATTGCCAAAGGATATGATCTGAAACCAGATGCCATTCCTATTATTGCTGCTAAAGCTTCTCGAAATATCGCAAGTGATGTAAGTATAATTTAAGTAAAGTGGAATATATACATCTATTGCGTTACAGCTTTCTGTAACGTTATGCTGTAGAGCATATGCTATATACATATAGTGGTATAGAGACACTTCTCTTTGAGAATTGACACTCTCATGATACTGTGCAATAACAAGTGAATTCAGATGTTGACATGAACCTCTGAAGACCCCTGTTTCTTTGGAAATGCATCATATCAAGTATGAGTGCTGATGAGCTGGGGCTGTTTGTTGTATGGGCTTCAAGTATTCACCAGCTTATTTGAAAGTTGCAGTGTTATAATTTCCCTGTGCTGCATTCTTAGTTTCTGGAGACCTGTACTTCTATTTGTCTAGCATTCACGAGCTGTACAGAAATGTGGCTGTTTTCAGGCAGCTACGTCAGTTGGCAGCAGTAAAGTTTGGTGTGCCATCTGACACAAGGTATGAAAGGAGATTTGGTGGAACACAGAAATAAATTCACTCACTTTAGCAAAAGGCTGCAAATGACTTTGATTCCCCACTGAGATATGCCTCCCTTCAATAGCTGAATATTGGGATATCTAATTGTGTGGTAGTCTTGGACTTTTCAATAATATATTGTTATGCTAGTCTTTTAATTAAAAGCTGAATGTTCCTGGGAGTTTGAAGTTTATGGCAGTAAAATACAGTATGGCAGAGGCAATGCCGAGGGAGGATGTGTCACTGTCTAGGTTTAGATCTATATCGGTGATCAAGACAAGCTGAGAAATCTAGCAATCCTCTTCTTTTTTTAACCTAAATAATCCTGTTCTGTCTGAAAAACAGTTTTGGACTTTATCGAATGAACTGTAGTTGTTAAAATATTTGGTTTCAAAGTATTAAAATTATCAACAGTACGTTTTCTCTTTCCAAAGTGGGTAAGGCTTTCTTTTCCTTTGTCTCTAGTACAAGTACAAGGAATCATATGAGAAAGCGAAAGGCAAACAGGTTGGATACCGCAGCCTGCAGGATGATCCTAAACTTGTTCATTACATGAATGTGGCCAAAATACAATCAGATCGTGAATACAAGAAGGATTATGAAGTCACCAAGACCAAATACCATACTCCTTTGGATATGTTCAGCGTGACGGCTGCCAAGAAAGCTCAGGAAGCGGTTACAAACGCTGGCTATAAACAGCCATTTCACCATTATACACTCTTGCCCGATTCTGTGAATCTGGAGCTATCAAGAAATGCGATGCAGCTTCAGAGTGACGTATGTAATGATTAATCTGCTCAGTTTTTTCTTCTCATGATGACTGTGTTACACTATTAACCTTTTAAGGCTAAAAAATGAACTACGTTGATTAACAGTAGATGGAGATGTAAATACCTGGTCTGGAACCCTGTATTTTCCAAAGATTATCAGAATTATGTGTAGCTGAAAAGTTCTAGGGAACTTACCTAGCAAGTAACAGCTTTCTTTGTATCTCTGCATATTTTGGCTAATTTTCAGCACAGGAACATGTTATTCCAATTCGTGTATTTTGTCGTTGGATTTGTAATTACAATGTGTTATTACTGTGGTAATTGTATCATCAGAGATGATAGGTTATGTACAGAGTCGAAATTTTGTATATGATATTTTATTTAAGTTTACTAAAAATGTACATTATGTATGTTTGTGTTATACCTAGGGATTTGAGACTTATTTATTTTTGTTCACTTTTCTTTCCTGCCTTTATCCTCCAACAGATGCATGTGGCATGCATGATAAGGATTTAAAAAAAAAAAAAGCTTGGTAGTTTCCATTAAGTTCTGTGATTTGTTTCCATTTTTTTTCCCTAGTGTAACTTTAGGGTCTGCCTGTTTACCCAGAAAGTATTTAGCTTAATCTGAATTATTTAAAAGTCCTCTGGCAAATTTGCAAATCCCCAAAATGTTAATAATCTGATTGAGAGTGTTCTTCAGATTCTAAGAATTATTTGTAGAGGATAATGTGCATGTTCCCATTCGCCAGCAGATAGAGGATCTGACCTTTGGACACTGTTCTTTTCAAATACAGAATTTTTTATCTCAAGTTTTTTGCTTCCCCATTGTATTTTTACCTAGCCCTTGCTGAGTTGGCTGAGCTTGCTTGGCTGTCTAACTCAGGATGTTTGCAAGGAGAGAAGCGTGATACTTGAGAACAAATTTTGCCCTGTACACACATGCTATGAAAGTATGTAGTCTTTTTCTCAGACTCTGATAGTGTCCCTGTCACTTCTAACACTGCAGTTCAGGAACAAGTTTTATTTTCACAGCATTTTCGTACCTTTATTTGTTCTAAAAGCCATCTTATAAAGTATGGTTAAACAGGAATGGTGTCTGTTCAAGATTGTGTAGAACCAGGCCATTAAGCAGAAGTTGCTGAAAAAATTTCTCTGAATTAATTCTACTGCGAGCTGAGTCTGCTAACAAGAGTGTAATTTAAAAATCATTATATTTTTGTCAGATTTTCATATTTACCACTCAAAATTTATTCTAAGGTCTGTGCATTTGGTTTGTAGTGTGAGTTCTACAGATTGGTTTGGTGCAAAGAATTTCTTTATCCCTAATACATAAGTAGTTGTTAATGTTCAGCTAAGAATTCGTAAAACAATAGCAGTAATAACAGACCTATCTAAATTTTCCTTCAAAAATGAAGGACCAGGAGATATTTTAAGGCCTTACCTGTTTTTATGTATATGGACATTCTAATTTTCCTTGTCTCACTGTGTTTTTCCTTGTTTATTTTTTAAAAGAACGTGTACAAAGCAGACTTTAATAACTGGTTAAGAGGAGTTGGCTGGATACCAATTCAGTCACTGGATGTAGAAAAGGCCAAAAAAGCTACAGATATTCTCAGTGAAAAGAAGTATCGCCAGCACCCGGATAAGCTAAAGTATTCTATTACAATGGATGCAATGGAACAAGTGCTAGCTAAGCAAAATGCCAAGACCATGAATAAGGTAAGAATTTGTTCAGATGATCAAGACCGAGCCAGAGACTGGGTCTTTGGCTTGCAAAATCGTGGGACAGGGGCATTCCTGCTGAAGTCTCTAGGGTTTCGAATGGGTATAGTGGTTTTCTTGGTTAAGACTGGACACTATGAGATGTTGGAAGCCTCAGAATGTATTCATAATTAAGGAAGCTTCATTTGCTGTTGATAAAGATTAATAATTTCTCTAGAGTATGTGATTAAAGATGTCTTCTCCAGATTTATAGTGCTTTGGTAACCTTTGGCCTTTTTCTGTGGGAAGTAGTATTTATAATCAATGAGCTGAAAAAACCCTGAAATGCTGCCAGTTTTGTACAAATTTCCTTAAAATGAGGAGTTCTTTAAATTTGTCCCTAGTTGTCTGGGACACCACTGATCCTGATTCTAAGTTTGCCATGGAAATAGGGAGCGGGGAGGAAAAAAAAAAAAAAAGCTTTGCATTAAAGCAGGGAAAAATGCAGACTGAAAATTTTCAGTTTCAATATTTATTAGTTATTAAAAGATACTTTGCAGATTTCTCAAAGTACTAAAGAAAGAGGAGGAATATAATACTGCTACTCAGCAGTTATATTTATGAAGATTATTTGTAGAGCTTATGGAGCTTTACTATACTGCAAAATATTATTTACTGCAAATGAACAAAACAAAAGCAAGCTCTTATTTTATGAGTACAATGCCTTTTCAATGCTAAATATTACTTTGTAATTGCAGAGGCTCTACACTGATAAATGGAACAAAGAGAAGACCAGCATTCATGTTATGCCCGATACTCCAGAAATTCTGCAGTCCAGAGTGAACCAGATCACGATGAGTAATGTGAGTTACCACGATCACAGTGGACATTCAGTGTCTGTTGCATAGATCAAAAATTGGTGTGATTTTTATGTTGTTTTTTAAAATACTGAAATTCAGATGTAGGGTCCCTCAGTAGTTCTGCCTTCATACCAAAGTACCTCTTCTCTTTTACACTTTACATCAGAAACTTTACAAAGCTGGATGGGAGGAAGACAAGAAGAAAGGTTATGACATGCAGCCAGATGCTATTCCAATAAAAGCAGCCAAAGCCTCCAGAGACATTGCAAGTGATGTAAGTTTTTTTGCGTGATAGTACTCAGAGTAGCTACAAAGACAGAACATTTTCAAAGTGCTGTTAGACACAAATGTGCTTTTTCAAGCATCTTAGCTTGTCTAGGTTTCAATTATATGCTTGATGGGGTAAACCTATGCAGCACTTGCTCTCCAGTGGAATAACACTGAATTGTGCTTTTTTGCTCTTTTTTCAGCAAGCTGCTGAACTTCATGTGCCTGTGTTCAGTGGGCTGTTTTGTAAGACAGAGTATGTTTAGATGACTAAACCTGAGATCTTGTGATGAAAAAGAACAAATTTTCTATGTTTTCAGAGATAAAATTGAGGTTAATAGTGCATTTCTTGGATTAAGTTTTTGCTGTTCTTTCTCTTTCCTGCTGTCAGTATAAATACAAACTAGCCTATGAAAAAGAGAAAGGAAAGCACATTGGATTCCGTAGCCTTGAAGACGACCCCAAGCTGGTGCACTTCATGCAGGTGGCTAAGATGCAATCTGATCGCGAATACAAAAAAGATTATGAGAAGGCAAAGACTAATTTCCATACTCCAGTTGACATGGTCAGTGTCGTGGCAGCCAAGAAAGCACAGGAAGTGGCTACAAATGCAAACTACAAAAACTTGATTCATACCTACAATGTTTTGCCTGATGCTATGAGTCTTGAATTAGCCAAAAATATGATGCAGATACAGAGTGATGTAAGTGAGAGATTTTTCAACCTTTGCATGTTGAATACAATGATACTTTGTATATTAAAAAGTCCTGTAAGAAAAATACTACTATTTTCTTAGTGATATTAGTTCACTTATATCCTGAAATATAACAAATGAAATGGGACCTTCAGCAATGACAGCCATTGTATTTTTCTAAGACTCTGAAATATTAAATTACACCTATTGCTAAAGAATTTGGGCTCAGAAATAAGTGCTTTTATGTATAAAGTAAAATGGATTTTTACTGCTTGCATATCCCATCAAGCTCTTCAGGAGCAATACTTGTGTGCAGGCCAAGACAGGAAAAGCTTCACTTTTCATTAATACTTTTATCTTGCACTTCCAAAAAGATTCTTTTCAGAAGAGGGGGAAATGAGCTAAGTAGCTATAATCTCAGATTTTCTGGGATGTTTAACCTCTAGAGAAGAGGGCCTTTTTTGCTCGGTGTAGTGGTTCAAAATAATCCCCTTCTTCAAGAGGCCCTCAGAGTGCAATGTCATGCGAGCAATCTATATACATCACAAAGAGGATGTGAACGCTGTATAAAAGGTGGAGTAGTAAGATATGGACACCAGTGTAACAAATGTGTTTCTAAATAATGCATCTTGATACTGTTTGCTGCTTCTTAGAATAAATGCATTCAAAATCTAGTATTCATTTAGGACAGAATGAAGTGTAATGACTTTTTCATGCATCTGATTATTTTCTTCTCTTTCTGCTTCCAGAATCAATACAGAGCAGAATATGATGAAAGTATGAAGGGTGTTGGATGGATGCCACTGGGCTCTCTGGAAGCTGAGAAGAACAAAAAAGCAATGGAAATTGTTAGTGAAAAGAAGTATCGCCAGCATCCAGACAAGTTGAAGTATTCTGTTCCTATGGATTCCATGAACATGGTCTTAGCTTTAAATAATGCCAAAATAATGGATGAGGTAAGAAAATGTTCATCAAAATTTATTGAAGTTTGCAGAAGTAAGAAACAAACTATACCTGATGTAATAGTCAATCTTACTGTATGCGTAGCTTTGGAGACTGAAAGCAAAGCATGACCCTAATGTTTCTAAGAAATATGTGTAAAGACAGACCTGGGGGTCCCATTTTATTAGTAAAGTTTACCCAAGATAACTGATTATAGACTTTTAGCAGTTTAAATCTGGAGGCTAAAAATACTGGAGTGATCCCTTTTGGAAAGAGGCTTTAAACTTTGAAATGTGTAGTCTGTTTTATCTGATGCCTGTTGCATCAATATGAAATATCTGCATGATATGAATGCTTTTATAATGAGGTATTTTTTTTCTGATTCTCCTGCTGATGTGATCTGCTGGTGTTCTTTAGAAATGTCTACAGTTCATGTGCATTGTAGTTACAGGGACCATCAGAATCTTATGTGCACTTCCCTTAGCTCTAATTCCTCTAACAAGAGCTCAATTACCTCTCTCAACTGATACTTGTTTTCCAGGAGATAAACTAATAATTTTCCACCTCTAGCATTTTTTTTTTATACCTTCTGGCTTGGCTTTTAGTTGTGGGTTAACCCCAGTAGGCAGCTAAGCACCACACAGCCACTCAGTCACTTCTCCCCTCCCCCTGGTTGGATGGGGAAAGAGGAAAGGCAGAGTAAAAGCAAGAAAACTTGTGGGTCAAGATAAAAAAGTTTAATAAGCAAAGCAAAAGTGGAAGAAGAGACAAAGAAAATAAAACAAGTGATGCAAAGCAAATACTCACCACCTCCCACGGGTAGACGGATGCCCAGCCAATTCTCAAGCAAAAGATGTCTAGCTTCCCTAAACTCCCCCTCCCCCCTTTTTATATGGTGAGCATGATGTTATGTGGCATGGAATATGCCTTCAGTTAGCTGGGTTTGTCTGCCTGGGTATGTCCCCTCCCAGCCTCTTGCACACCACCCAGTCTATTCACTGCGGGGGCAGAGTCAGAAATAGAGCAGGCCGTGGTACAGTGCAAACACTGTTCAGCCACAGCTAAAGCATTCGTGTGTTACTAGCATTGTTGTAGTTACTAATCTAAACCACAGCACTGTCTGAGCTGCTATGAAGAGGATTAAATCCATCCCAGCCAGACCCGGTACATTTTGAAACCTGCAGTTCAATGTGCCTGCATACACTGCTGGGCAAGAGACAAGAAATAAAATACTCTAGCAAGACTGAGATTTCTTCCACTCTTCTTTCAGCCTCACACAATCAACTTCATAAGAGCTATTCCTGATTCACACTGCTTTTAAGTGCTAAAATAAGACGACACTTGTTCCTACTGTGTTAGTAGTTGCATCATTGGAAAGAAAGTTTATATTTCAAATAGGAAATATTCTTTTAAATTGTTTTATTTAATTTCTTGGTTATGTTGACATCTCTTTTTTTAATCCTTCCAGCACAAGTACAAACAAGCATGGGAAGAAGACAAAAAGAAAGTTCACATCACACCGGATATTCCACAGATAGCTTTAGCAAAAGCTAATGCGTTTAATATAAGTGATGTGAGTACTGTTTGTAAGACTATGACGTTGCTGTTATTTTTTTAATTAGGAATAAGTGAGATGACAACATATGAAAGTCTCCATAGTTCTCTCTTTGCTAACTTGTAGTAATTTCACAAAAAGCTGACAACTTTCCTTTTCCCCACTTCCTTCACCAAAATTAAAGAACAAAAGTTGTGAAGAAAAGGCCATAGTGATTATAGTCAGCTTATGAATTGTTCATGTAGGTTACTAAAATATAAGAGTTACTAACAAAATAGTAGAGTTTGAGTACTGTCCATGTTTGTTACTGTATTTATTATTTTATTTCCCCATGCACAAAGTTTTGTACTGGATTCAAAATTCTTTCCTGCAGATGGAACCTATTGTTTTGGTAACAGATGATATTATAGTCATATATATAGATATATATATATAGATATAGTTTCTGAGTAGCCAGTTGTTAAAGCTGTGTATGCTAAATAAGGTGTTGTTTGTAATTGTGCACATCTTTAATGTACACAGAAATAGACATATTTATCTCTTTTTTAAAAGCTGACATCCTTATAGATGTTACTTTTCACCAATATTTGTGCATGTGGGAAACAAATGCAATTTCCTGCTCTTTTGTTATAGGTTATTGTTACCAATTATAGTGCATTCCAGCTGCATTGATGTATCAATACCAGGGTTGGAGTTAATTTTGAAGGAGTATTCCTCTCTCTGTGTGCCTGAGTGCCTTAAGTCACTGTTCAAGGAGTGTCAAATACACAAATAGTTTGTGTTTCAAGTTGCTGTATAAAATGAACAGAGTTTTATTTACGAGGATTTTTTGTTTTTTAAAACATATTTCTTTTCTTTCGTTTCACAGAAAATGTACCGACTTTCATTTGAAGAATCTAGGAGGAAAGGGTACGACCTCAGAGCAGATGCTATCCCTATTAAAGCTGCCAAAGCTTCTAGGGATATTGCTAGTGATGTAAGTTCTTGAAAGAAAAAATTATCGATTTCAGATATTGTAAAACATTCATTTCTTGACACGATTCAATTTTATATGCCAATTATATGAAGTCTTTTCATTCTCTTGCTTGTAAGTAATTCTAATATTCAATATAGGTTCTAATACATTTTCTAACAGGATTAAAAACCAATTTATTTATTAGAAAGATAAGGAATGTATAAGGGACTCTTAGGAAGAAAAAAAAAAAGGCAGTTCATTCCTCAGTGTGATGGCACTTGGATACTTTATAAATGTATGTTGTATTTTTGTAGACTAGTGAGATTAGAAAGCAATTGAACCCCAATTTACATTGAAACTTATGCAGGAGCAGAATAACCTATGGTAAGGAAATTCCATTTATTAAGAAAGTGTTTTAAATATACCGCTTTTAGAAGGGATGCCAGACATCTGTTTTGCTTTAGAGTGCACCCTAAGAGTAGGTGGACAAAGCCACCACCTCAATATGCTTTGTGAAGTTTTCTTAACAATGTGAAAATCTTATTTTAATCTGAAGTTTTGGGGTTTTTTTCCTTACAAGATAGATATTGCTTATTAAACAAATGAAGTAGAATTAAAGTCTCTGCCTCTGTTCTCTTTACAGTATAAATACAAATTAGGTTATGAACAAGACAAGGGGAGACTTGTAGGCTTCCGCAGCCTTCAGGATGATCCCAAACTTGTCCATTATATGCAAGTGGCTAAGATGCAGTCTGATCGTGAATACAAGAAAGCTTATGAGATGAGCAAGACACATTACCAAACGCCTTCGGATACACTCAGCATTGTGGCAGCTAAGGAGGCACAAGATCGTGTAACCAATACTAACTACAAACGACTGGTTCACCACTATATGCTTCTACCGGATGCAATGAGTTTAGAACTGTACCGAAACATGAATCAGATACAAAGTGACGTAAGTTTCTGTTTTATTTCTGTCATTCACAGCTGTGACTTTTTTTCTGTTTCTTCATTATGGCTGTGTTTTGGAAACAGCAGAATTGCTTTGTATAAACCATTTGTGAATTGTAAACTTTCCTTTTGTGTTCTGGTTGGCAGAATGAGTACAAGCAGGATTACAATTCGTGGTTCAAGGGTATCGGCTGGAGTCCTGCTGGGTCTCTGGATGTGGAGAAATCTAAGAAAGCCACAGAAATTGCAAGTGATCGGAAATACCGCCAGCATCCCAGCATATTCCCCTTTACGAAACAGAATGATGCCATGGACATGGTCCTTGCAAAGCAGAATGCAAATATAATGAATAAAGTGAGTATTTATGGGGAAAATTAGGCAGACATTCACATATAATCCATTTCAATAATCAGTCTGTAAGTGTCTGTCACCACCTTTATGTAGCAGTGTTTCCCTGGGAAAAAACAACTGTTGCTTACATGGTTTTCACTTTTTTTTCCTAATGAAACACACAGTTTTGTATAAATAATATTGGTTAAATAAATCTTACCTGATTTTTCTCATTGCTGCTTCTCCAACCTCTATTCTTCTCATTCTTGTATAGAAATTACTGGCTTTGAAAAAGCTTGTTAGTTGGACTTCATTAGAAGCAAGACTGGATCTTAATTCAGCTGATTCTGGATTAGTCCATTACAGAGTAAAATAAATCTAAGTCAGCTACGTCGTCTTTTTACCCATACATATCCAAAGTGCACAAATGGAAAGGTGAAAGCCATCCTTGGTCATTTATATTAACACATCTGATGTTACTTTTTTTAATAGCATGCTTATACTGAAGCTTGGGAGAAGGACAAAATTCAGGTTCATGTGATGCCAGATACACCAGATATCCTACAAGCAAAACAGAACAAGACGAACTACAGTCAGGTAGAGATTTTTAATACTTCCTATAACATTTTAAAAGACTATGTACTTTCTTCAAATCTAAAGGTGCCTCCCATTTCAAAATAAGTAATTAATGTGTAGAAGGTAGAAGAAACAGGATGGGGAATTTAGAACAGAGGCAAGAATTTTTATGTGAGTAATATTTTCAGAGCAGTAGTAAGTACCACCTTCAGGCTAGCAAAGCAACAGCCTAAATTACATTGAAATGTACGGAAAATAAGTCCTGTTTTTGAAATCTAGATATACATAGTCCATACTCTGTGCTTTCCATAGAATTCAATCATGTTAAAAATTCCTTACTGTAAAATCACGAGTTCATTGTCTCTATTTTTAACTTAACATACGGGAATATAAATGCAGTGATTCTAACTTTTCTGTCAGCTTTTAAATCTGAGAAAGTGACTATTTTGCCAGTATAAAATACTTAGGTTTTGCTTTGCATGATTGCTCAGAGGTAAATCTTTGACTTGCAAGTTCTGACACTTAAAATCAGCTGTGCACAAACTGAATTGACTATTAAATGACTACGTTACAGCCTTATTGATTAAAATTTTAGTAACCCAACTGAAAAGTTTTCAGTTACCCCAGATGTATAGAGTTCAAATTCCCCAGATATCTTTCAAATCCTGAAGATAAGCTATAGTACGAAACTGCTGCAATAAAGAAAAACTATTTAGTCACTCGCCTAAGGCTTGGAAGACCTCTGTTCCTTGCTTCTCAGTTTCCCGTATCCCAGTTCCCATTCTAGTAGCCCCTCTTTCATAACTGAAGCCTGTGAGGTGACCAGAATTTGGTAATATGGATGATTAGCATATCTAAATAGAAGGTGACTAACGTATTACTAAAACTTTTTAGTTAATATTGTTTTCAATTTTAGAAACTCTACAAGCTTGGCTGGGAGGAAATGATAAAGAAAGGCTATGACCTCACACCTGAAGCCATTTCAGTGAAAGCTGCCAAAGCTTCAAGGGACATTGCAAGTGACGTAAGCAAGATTTCTAATTCAGTATGACATACACCTTATGTAGTTGGTACTGAGTCGTGCTAGATCAACATACACATCTCTGCTAAGGTGTAGCTTGGAGTGAAAAGCAAAATTGCTGAGAGAACTCTTTCCTGATCTGTTCTTGTCAGTGAGGAAAACAATTTAAGAAGGGTTGCTCTGGCATCCTGGCAATTTGAAAGACTGTGGCCCATCCATGAAGGGGCCAGTCATACAAAGTTAAGAGTTGTCTGTTCTTTTGGATGTTACGTTTTCAGAGCAGCAGCAAATTTTGTTCCAATTAGCTGATCCCAGTGCCTATACTGAGAAATCCTCTTTCTGGCTCTGAAATACACATGGTGACACATGTAGTGCTGTTACCATAACTTGGTATGAATATAACTTCTGCATTTACCGAAGAGATCACATTACTCATTAGGAAATGTTTCCAGTGCTTAAGCATCTTCATTTTTCATTGCCGATTGTATTATTTGTCAAAATATTTCAGTGTGTCAGCCTTTGGGAGTTCTGAAAGGTATGACTGTACGAATCAGATGGCACAGCAGAGCCATGCACTCTTGCTCTCCAGGGAGTCTGTTCATTCCCAAGGAGAGCGTTCACTGGCACTGAGTCCAGGGGCTGCTAAACCTTTACATGAGATGCCATAACAAGGTGGTGATTTCATTGGTGATGAGAAACATTGAACTGAGTGACTATATTGATATTTTGTATATATATTTTACCATTGTCTATTTCTTACTGCAATTTCAATAATGCAATCTTTATAATTTTAGTACAAATACAAAGAAGGCTACCGCAAGCAGCAGGGACATCACATTGGATTCCGCAGCTTGCAGGATGATCCGAAGATGTTGTGGTCTATGCAAGTAGCTAAGATGCAGAGTGAGAGGGAGTACAAGAAAGATTTTGAAAAATGGAAGACAAAGTTTAATATGCCTGTGGATATGTTAGGCTTCCTTCTGGCTAAGAAATGTCAGGAGTTGGTTAGTGATATAGACTACAAACGGATGCTACACCGCTGGACTTGTCTGCCAGACCAGAATGATGTCACCCAGGCAAAGAGGGTCTACGAACTACAGAGTGATGTAAGCTTCCTCTGGATTTAATTTTTTTTTTTTGTAAGATATTTACTGCTTATTGAAAAGTATCTTTAAGAAGTCTCTTTTGATGTCAGTGTAGATCAGATTGAAGCTAAAATACCAGTTAGTCTTCTAATATGGTTTAATAAATGGATAGGGTGGTAATCTAGTATGGTTTTGATTTTTTTTTTCCTGAACAGAATCTGTATAAGTCAGATCTGCAGTGGCTCAGAGGCCTTGGATGGAGTCCTTTGGGATCTTTGGAATCTGAAAAGAACAAGAAAGCTTCTGAAATACTGAGTGAAAAGAAGTACCGGCAGCACCCAGATACTATTAAGTTCACAAGTATCCCAGATGCCATGAATATCGTTTTAGCAAAATCTAATGCCAAAAACAGAAGTGATGTAAGTTGCATCTAGAGACAGAGCATGTGATTCAATGAATGAATACATTAGTATACATTTGTGAAAAATATTTCCATATCAGAACATGTGCTTAAATACCAGATGTTTACAATCAGTGCCTTGATGCTTGGTTGTCAGGAAGTACTGTGGCTTGTTCAGAAGATCAAGGTCTTTAATGCTGTAGAACTTAGCAATAACTGCAAATAAGACACTTACTATGTAGTATGTAAATGTATTGTCTGAATGCTGTTTCCTTGACTTTTCGTGGGTGGAAAGAAGAAGAAAATGTGGTATTTCAGTAAGAAGTCATTGTGTTATTTGATTTTAATGTCTTGTGTTGTTTACATTGCTCGTGGTTACATACTATGTCTTTGATTTGCTATTGTAGACAAGAGGTAAACTGAATTTACTGCTGTGCATGTGAGCCTTTTATCAGAGAAGAAATTGTTGTTTGTCTGTTTTCAGATACTGTATAGAGAGGCCTGGGACAAGGACAAGACTAAGGTTCACATCATGCCTGATACTCCTGAAATTTTGCTGGCTAAATCAAACTTAATTAACACAAGTGATGTAAGTGTGTCTCTACAATGTTTTTTTATGGAATTTGGTATTACCCATTGTGGCTTTAGTTTAAAATGCAGTAAGGTAATTCTGTAATTCTAACAGCTATAAGCAAACCTGTGATCTTTGCCTGAGAAAATTGTTACGCACTGGGAAGCCGAGTGGAATTGTTGAAATATGAAGTGGAAGCAGGGTTGCTAGAATATACCAAGAAAATAATCAGTACAAGTTATCAGTTTTCTCTTTCATCTCTACTGACCATATTGGCATTGTTGCTATGAGTTCAGTACTTTTTGGTAAGCCTGTCATTCTTGTTAAAATGTCTGATTATATTGAATTGCCTCTTTGGAATTACATAGGATTATGTAATTTACATCAAATTCCTGGTTACAATGGAACACACATAGACTACAGGCAAAAGTAAAGAAATGTTAGCAGCTCCATCATTAAGAACTCATGAAGACAAAAATAATTGCAATTGAATTGGATGTAGAGCCCCATGGGGCTCTATGATTCACCTCTGTAGAATACTGTGCATCGTTCAGACTAGTATGTTAAGTAAAAGAAAATTTTGATCTCGAATAAGTTAATCAGAACACATACATATACTAATTTTTAAATATTTTCTGCCATCAGAAACAAAATACACATTATTAAAAGCAAGCTATGGGATTTAATTTGATGAATGAAACTGTGTTTGGAATCTCATACTTTATATTCAACAATCAAGAGGAAAGTTGTAGTGTTGAAAAACTCTCTAAGAAGCTTTATTTGCAATAATTTCTTTGAATCCTTCTCCAACAGAAACATTACAAGTTAGGATATGAAGAGCTGAAGAGGAAAGGCTATGATCTTCCCCCTGATGCTATACCACTTAAGTCAGCAAAGGCATCCAGAGACATAGCCAGTGAAGTAAGTCTTACGGAGTGAAAATAACAGTGGGGCATAGAGCTGGTAAAAACTATTGGATAAAGATGTGGGTTTTGTCAAGAGGATGAGAGGTGTAAAATTTTAACAGTCTTATATTGCTGCCTTCCCCAGAGTTTGTATAAACTTAAAGTTAAGTGTAAAGTTAATTAAATTAAATAAAATAATTAACAATGACATAGTATATAACTATAAAAAAAAGCCATTAATATCTTCTGAAAATGCAATAAAGACTCTAAAAATGTTGGAAAAATTAAAAAAAAATTGAAATCATAGAATCATACCAATTTTAACCAGTATATGAAAAACAAAGGCATTAAAATTGCAGCTTGAAAACGGGTGATAATTGTTGTTTCTGTGTCCAATTAGTACCAGTACAAAACTGCGTACCGAAAGCAGCTTGGCCACCACATAGGGGCCCGCAACATAGAGGATGATCCGAAGATGGTGTGGTCGATGCACGTAGCCAAGATCCAGAGTGACAGGGAGTACAAGAAAGCCTTTGAGAAGACAAAGACACACTTCAGTAGCCCAGTGGACATGCTGGGAATCGTGTTGGCCAAGAAATGTCAGGAGCTGGTCAGTGACGTTGATTACAAGCACCCTCTGCATCGCTGGACCTGTCTGCCCGACCAGAACGATGTTGTACAAGCCAGGAAAGTGTACGACCTTCAGAGTGATGTAAGTTGTTCTTTCCCGGTTGTGTGAAAGGTACAGGTGTCTCTTGTGTTCTGTTCCGCTGTTGGAGATGGTCGAGGTGGGGAGCCTGAGTCAAGGCCGGTTCTGTGAGACTGAGACTGTGTTGTGGCCACACTGTCTTGCTGAGAGTTGGTGTTGTGAAAGGGCAGGGATGAAGCTTGTGCGGGGTGAGACTTTATGGTGAGAGAGAGTCCTGTGTTGCCGTGAGCAGTTTGTGGGGAGGGTTGTGGCAGGTGGCTGGGGAAGGGCAACAGAGTCAACTCTTTTGTTTTGGAGGACGGTCAGTGGCCAGGGACAAGCAGAGTAAGGCAGTTACTGAGCTGCTGTATGTCCTTGCCTGTCCTTTCAGAATGTGTACAAGTCCGACCTTCTGTGGCTGAGGGGCATCGGCTGGGGGGCCAAGGGGTCGCTGGGCGGGGGGGAGTGGGGAGGGTTGTGGCAGGTGGCTGGGGAAGGGCAACAGAGTCAACTCTTTTGTTTTGGAGGACAGTCAGTGGCCAGGGACAAGCAGAGTAAGGCAGTTACTGAGCTGCTGTATGTCCTTGCCTGTCCTTTCAGAATGTGTACAAGTCCGACCTTCTGTGGCTGAGGGGCATCGGCTGGCTGCCAAGTGGTTCACTGGACGATGAGAAGAATAAGAGGGCGAGCCTCATCCTGAGTGACAAGAAGTATCGGCAACACCCAGACACCATCAAATTCACGAGCCTTCCTGACTCGATGCCTATGGTTCTGGCAAAGCACAACTCTGAAATTATGAACCAAGTGAGACTTTGTTGTGTTTTCAGCTGGAAGCAAAGGAGTGCCTTCCTTTCACAGGACAGTGGGCTCTCTTCTCGCAGGGCCTGGTGTTTTGCACAGGGCCCCTTGCTTTAGTTTGTTGAGCCAGTGTGCTTTCTGGGTTTGTTGCCTGGTGCTTGTGTGATCTTATTTGTCGTTGTACTCATGTTTTCAGCGCTCGTACACGTCGGCGTGGGAGAAAGATAAAACCAGCATTCACATTATGCCGGATACACCTGGTATTTTGCTAGCCCAGCAGAACCAAGCGAACCTCAGTGAGGTGGGTGACTGAGCTGGGGTTAAGCGTCTGTGCGTGGACACTACTGTGGCTGGGGAAGAAGTGTAGTTTGAGGGGAATGCTTGTTTTTCTTTCAGAAACTGTACAAGCTTGCGATGGAGGAAGAGAAGAAAAAGGGCTACGACATGCGGGCAGATGCCATTCCTATCAAGTCTGCGAAAGCTTCCAGAGACATTGCAAGTGATGTAAGTACCCAGGAGCCCTTGGCATCACGCCCTCTGGGGCAGTTTGCAGGTGCTGGCAGTGGAAGACCAGGGTTTGCAGCCTTTGAGAAACAGAGGCAGCCCAGCACTTGCCTGTCATTACCATTCACCCAGTGCATGACCGTGTTGGTTGTGGAGGGTCTGCCTGTAGCTGTCCCTGCACGTGATGGTGTGCAGCGTTGTGAGGGAATGTGTAGATGGTGGGATTGTAGTAACTGTGGGAGGTGGGTGATGGAGACACTCCAAAGCAGCGTCCCTCCTGGACCTGTGGGACCATCTCCTCGTGTGACAGGCTGGACTTTTGAGATGGTGTGCTGCCCTCTCAGTACTGCCAGTGTGCAAGCCCCTAATGCTGCAGCTGCACAGTTGAGCTGGACTTTAGGAAAGGAAAGCCAAACCAAGTTTTTATGTTATGACCAGGGCATTTATTATTTCTGTTTGGAGTGTAGGCAGGTCCAGTCACTGTAGACCAGTCATTACTATGCCCCAGAGTATCTTTCCAGGGCTTAGATCTGTAGGAGCTGTAATTACTCTCTCATGAGAGTTTCTGGAGTTCAGGTTAATTCCCTTACTGTAAGGAGATCGAGTTCAATCTCTCCTCAGTCTTACTTGACCTTTCAGTAAGAGGCAAGGGCAAAAGTGTTGTGTTGCCCCTTGTCGCTTCCCAAGCTCAATGGCTGTAGGTGTGCAGCTGAGGACAGACACGGGGCTGGGAGAATGAGAGTCGTGAGCGCTGTGCAGGAGGGCCTGGTGCAGCGGAGTGTGAGAAACGCTGTGGGCTGGGTGGGGGAGTGCAGTCAGGCTGTGCAGGATGAGTCCCGGGTTGTGTGCTGGAGTGTTCTGGTGGTTATCGCTGAGTTTTTCATCCCAGCTGCTGAACTGGCCTCTCAGTGGGGACGTTAGGTTGTGTGGAGACGCTGCAAGCTGGCATGCATCGCTCCTGGTTCCTGAGCTGGCTTGGTTGGAGTTGCCATCTGGTCCTCCGTGTGCATCCTGTGGCTGAGTGGAGGCGTGGGGTGGGATGGAAATGTGGGACACAGTAGGGACATGCTGCGCTGAGACACTCTTCACGTGGTGACCTCACCAGGCTCCATTAGCATCAGGGGCTGACAGGTGCTGCTACAGAATAGTGTCAGAAAGGAGAAGAGCTGGCATGGAACTTACTGAGCTTCTTTAACCCTGCAGTACAAGTATAAAGAAGGCTATCGCAAGCAGCTTGGCCACCACATAGGGGCCCGTAACATAGAGGATGATCCAAAGATGGTGTGGTCGATGCACGTAGCCAAGATCCAGAGTGACAGGGAGTACAAGAAAGCCTTTGAGAAGACAAAGACACACTTCAGTAGCCCAGTGGACATGCTGGGAATCGTGTTGGCCAAGAAATGTCAGGAGCTGGTCAGTGACGTTGATTACAAGCACCCTCTGCATCGCTGGACCTGTCTGCCCGACCAGAACGATGTTGTACAAGCCAGGAAAGTGTACGACCTTCAGAGTGATGTAAGTTGTTCTTTCCCGGTTGTGTGAAAGGTACAGGTGTCTCTTGTGTTCTGTTCCGCTGTTGGAGATGGTCGAGGTGGGGAGCCTGAGTCAAGGCCGGTTCTGTGAGACTGAGACTGTGTGCTGTCTTGTGGAGGGTTGGTGTCGTGAAAGGGCAGGGATGAAGTTTGTGCAGGGTGAGACTTTATGGTGAGAGAAGAGTCCTGTGTTGCCGTGAGCAGTTTGTGGGGAGGGTTGTGGCAGGTGGC